GCTCAAGACTGTGAGAGACAGCAAAGGGCGATTCTGACAAACTGTAGCTGGTAAAGGAGACACATTTTTGTCCTTGTGGCTGTTCAGCTGCAGGAGGCAGGAAAACCAAAGGATGCAGCAGTTCTGTGACCTTCATGTTTGGCACCTGAGGCCAACGCGCTCCGTGAGGACAACAGGGAGGTCAAGAGAACCTGCACGGCCCCACAAGTAAGCAGTGACAGAGCCGGCATAAAGCCCTCTGCTTTTCTAAGGGACTAAAACCAGGAACCTCAGGGTGCAGGGGTTTTCCTGGCAGCCAGCTGGGTTTGGGACCCCCCGGGTGCTTTGGGAGTGCAGGGAGGGGGTTTGGGGGGCAGATGTGGTTGGAGCGGGTCCCATGAGGGGTTCTGGGGGTCCCAGCAGAGGTTTTGGGGGGTTTGGCGTTCTGGGGCTTTCAGGGTGCAGGGGTAGAGCAGGACGCTTGCTGGGGCTGAGGCTCTGGGGAGGGGAAGGGGCTCCAGGTGCAGGTGGTTTGAGGTGCCAGGGGGTTTCGAGGTGCAGCCCCCAGCAGGGGCCATGGGACAGCAGAGCAGAGCTCAGTTGAAAGGGGCCTACAGCAATCCTGCAGTGCAACTGCCTGACCAATTCAGTGCTGGCCAGAAGTTCAAGCACGGTCTCGAGGGCATAGTCCTTACTGGCATTGTCCATACGGCTCCCCAGCACTCCCAGGCCTGGCACACCAGGGAGCTTGTGCCAATGTCTGAACCCCCTCTTCCTAACCCCAAGTGTGAGCCTGCCCTGGCTCCCAGGGAGATCAGCACCGCCCTCCCCATGTCCCCTCTCCAGGAAGCTGCAGAGAGCTCTGTCCTGCAGCCTCCCCCCTGCTCCCCAGGGAGCCCCTCCTCGCCTGGCCCTGCTTCCCTCGGGACCCCGTCCTGCTCGACGCCCCTTTGGCTCTTCCCCCCTGGAGGCCATCGCTGCTCTGTCCCTCTCCCCCTCCTCCCCCCGACCCACCTGCTGCTGCCCCTCAGCCTCTCCGGCTCGCTCCTGCCCTGCTCCTCCACGGTCTCGAGGGCATAGTCCTTACTGGCATTGTCCATACGGCTCCCCAGCACTCCCAGGCCTGGCACACCAGGGAGCTTGTGCCAATGTCTGAACCCCCTCTTCCTAACCCCAAGTGTGAGCCTGCCCTGGCTCCCAGGGAGATCAGCACCGCCCTCCCCATGTCCCCTCTCCAGGAAGCTGCAGAGAGCTCTGTCCTGCAGCCTCCCCCCTGCTCCCCAGGGACCCCTCCTCGCCTGGCCCTGCTTCCCTCGGGACCCCGTCCTGCTCGACGCCCCTTTGGCTCTTCCCCCCTGGAGGCCATCGCTGCTCTGTCCCTCTCCCCCTCCGACCCCCGCTGCTGCTCCTCAGCCTCTCCGGCTCGCTCCTGCCCTGCTCCTCCCCTCTCCCGCCCTTGCCCACCCCCTCTTCCTGCTCCCTGTGCCCAGGGGCCGCTGTCCCAGCAGGGCCTGGCAGCAGGAGGAGCGCCCCGGGGCCCGCTGGCAGCTGCAGAGCCAGGGCAGGGGCTGCCGGCGGCCATGGTGGTGCTGGGGCTGCGGCCCAGCTCAGGGGAGGGCCGGGGCCAGCGCTGAGGCGAGTGAGCCCCTGCGGAGATGGAGACAGCCCCGCTGTGGGCACAGGCACCGGGCACCCCGACTGCCAGAGCCCCCCGAGCTGCCCCGGCCCGGCCTGCGCCCTGCAGCTGGGCCTGGGCCTGGGCCTGCCCAGGAGGAAGGGGCAGAGCCCAGAGAGGCAGAGGAAGAAGGGCCTGGGCTGAAGAGTTTCCCCGGCAGGACGGAGAGCGGGAGCTGTGGTGAGTGCCGGGCGCTTGGGGCCAGGTCCCCCTCTTCTGCCTCTCAGTGCCCCCAGGATCCCCCCTCCCTTTGCCCTTGCTGGCATTGCTCGCTCCATCTCTGCCCTGCAGCCCAGGGCCCTTTGTGCCTTCCACCTCTCTGTCCTGCTGCCCAGCCCTGGCTTTCTGCCCTCCCTCTGGATCTTGCTCCCATCTCTTATTTTGGCCTCTCTTCCCCTTTGTCCCGCCTCCTGTCTCACCACTTCAAAGCCCTTCCTTTTTCCAAGGACATTTGAGGATGGGCTCTGGGAAATGGCAGAAAGAACCCTGCTCTTTTGTCCTTGTCTGGTGATGTTCTGTGAACTTTGGCAAGCCAGGGGAAGAGTGCTTGGAAGAGCCTCTTGTTGGAGAGTAACGTGTTCCTATCGTGTGCCTGTCTTCACCTTATGGTGCAGGTTTCCTGCATGAAGCAGGAGTTTGCTGACCTCTGAGCTTGCCTTGGCTTGGTAAATGTCACAGTTGTTGTCTTCACAGGGAGTGAAGCTGGGATGGCAACACAACAAGCTGGAGCAAAACCAGCGGGAAATGCCACTTTCTTCCCGATTGCTGCGTGATAAAGTCAGAGCAAGTAAAGGCACTTGCAGGTGGCTTTTCTGTGCAGTCTTTGTGAGGAGCTCTGGGTAGGGATTGATTTGCGTGCAGCAAGGCATCAGTGAGGAAAGAAAAGCAGGGCCTGTCTGAAGAGCTGGTTCAGCACAGGCAGGGTTTGAGCCTTTGCGCTGGAAGAGGTCTGTGCCACAGCTCCTAAGCACAGCAGATGAGCTGTCTGTAAGGAAAGTTGCCTTCGAAGTGAGGCTAGATTTGTTAAACTGGCTCCTCTGTTGCAGCTCTTTTGGCAGTATTGACATTATGCCCCAGCTGCGTGGCAGCGTGTTCACGCGGGCCATCGAGGTCTTTTCAGGGGTACTGCTGGAGTGCAGGTGGTGAGACTGGGTGTAGTAATGTTAATAACTAGATATTAATAACTTGAAAGCTAAGAGCACCTCCGGTATGAAGACGGGTTGAGAACACTGGGGCTGTGCAGCCTGGAGAAGGGAAGCTGTGTGGAGACCTCAGAGCAGGCATCCCCACCCATGGAAGGGGGTTGGAACTGGATGATCTTAAGGTCCTTTCCAACCCAGACCATTTTGTGATTCTGTGATGTGTTTGAGAAGTAATTCCCCATGTATTTAGGTGTGTAGAGCTGGTGATTCCTCTGGCTGCGGAATTCCTGCTATTTCATCCCATCATTTGGAAGGAATGAAAAGAAAGCTTGGAGCTTGGAGGAAGGAGACCTCCTTTCCTTCTTGCCTATGGGGATGCCCAGAGCTGGTGCCAAGATTTGATCAGATGTTGCCCTCCATCCATCCCCTGCCCTGGCTGGTCGGACAGCAGCACCCTATGGTGTAGAAGGTAAGGGACATCAGTCTCAAGAGGTGCTCTCTTCTACCTGTGGTCACTTTCTGTCCCACAGCTTCTCTGTGCCCCTTCCTGAAAGCTCATTCCCAGTCTTGTTTGAGAACAGCTGCTCTACCATGGCCCTTTAGCACAAGCGGTGTTTAGGTACAGGAGGTCCGGATGGGTCTTGGCCTGCCATGACATGAACTTTTTACAGGTCTCTACGTAGCTTGGAACAAAGGGGACATGAATTCACTGACATCCATGTTAACTGACATGCATCCAATGTTCGTTGACATCCACCTCACAACTGATCCTGTGGCGATGGCAGAGCAGAGCCGCACACAGCAGCATCGCCACATCAGCAGCCAACCCAAAGGCTGGTGAGGCCACAGAGTCCCAAGTGAGGGCTTGGCGGAAAGGCCGGATTGTGCAAGGGAGCCAGTGAAGGTCAGGGACGAGAGGGAAAGGTGTAGGGAGAGGCAGAGCAGTTGAGGAGCAGGGGAGGAGGGAAACACAAGCAGAGCCAGGACGCGGTGCAAGAAGGGGGCTTTAGCCCAGGAGCAAGCAGAGGAAGATGGTCCTAGGCAGGCAGAGCCTGCTGCTCTGGCGGATGAGCCAATCAGGGCTGAGCAGAGGGTCGCCAGCCAATCAGGGCGCGTTGAGGCAACTGGATGCGGTTTCCAAGGCAACGGGCCCCATTCTGACAGCAAACTCACTGGGTGCAAAGGGAGGCTGCAGCTGTGCCACAGCGGCATTAAGGGATCGCAGGCTCTTTGGGTTGGGTCCTGGTGCAGGCCCCATTCACAGCAGCATGGTGGTCCCAGAGAGCAGCGCTGGCAGCAGCGAGGCCTGGGAAGATGTGTGCCTCAAATACCGCTCATTGCTGAAGCAGCTGACGCACAACAGCAAGCAGCACATCAACATCCTGACCATCCTGGCTGCGGAGAACATGCGCTTCACTAAGGGCATTGTGTCCCTGATTGAGGCACAGATCACCAAGGTTTTTATATGGCACTGACTCCTACTTGTACCCGTACTGCTGGAGGGACCAGCTGGGGCAGCAGGCATGGGTGGCCTTAGGGCTAGAAGGAAGGGTGTCAGAGAGATGGAGTGCTGAGGAGCACAGGAGACAGGCAGCACGAGGTGCAGGGGTTACAGGAGGAGGAATGTAGAAGGGACAAGGAGAGACAGCAAAGTGGGCAGGGGACTCCCAGGAGGGCAAGAGACCTCCCTCCCTGCTTGTACTAGAAGAGGGTTTGGGACTCATCCCACCAAAAGCTCTGGGAGAGCAGCATGTCTCACGATTGAAGCCCCATATCAGTTTCTTCTCATTACTCCAGGCTCCTGCAACCCTAAAACTGCCGCTCCTCTACCTGATGGATTCCATTATCAAGAATGTGGGAGGATACTATCTGCCTGCATTTGCTAAAAACCTACCTTTCATATTTCCTCGTGTGTTTGAACAGGTATGCACACTTTCAGATGAGTTCTGTAATCTCAGCAGCATTTGTTCCTGGTAGGACATACATGCTTTCCATTTGGGGTTTTCTTGTTCTGCTGCCCTGTCTTTAATGTTTTGCTCTTAACGAGAGGCGATGGGCATAAACTGAAAGGCAGGAAGGTCCACCTGAACTTGGGGAAGAGCTCATTTACTAAGAGGGCGACTGAGCACTGGGATGCAATGCCCAGAGCAGTTTTGTGCCTCTTTCCCTGTTGCCTTCCAATATTTTTGTTACTTCTTTTTCCCCCACAGAAATTGGGCAAGTAAATGAGACTTTTGATAGGGAAATAGTTGAAAGAACGTTTTCAGAGAATGGTAATGTGCAATAAAATCTTCAGATAGCCTTGAAACAACAATTCCACATTCGAGCTTCTGTTCCTCAGTGCATGGGTATAGATGTATGACCTGCACTGCTTACAAATTCTGTAGAGCTAATTCAAGGTGTTAAAATGGCAAACTGTTCATGGAGTTAGAAAATAGATGAAATCTTTAGTTCAACAGAAAAGGTCAAGAAATTGTTTTGTATTAACTTAACAAGCTGTGCAATTGTTTGATTGGTTTAGGTCGATGCAGATACTAAGAAATGTTTATTTAAACTACGCTCCACATGGAACGGCATTTTTCCTGTGAAGAAACTACTTGTACTGGATAGCAGAGTGAGCACATTAGATCCGGCTTGGCCAATTAAACCCCTGCCTGCAGACCTGGATCTTTCCAGCATCATTGCGAAACGCAAGTTCCCAAAGAGATCAGTAAGTTTGTGTGCCTGCTGCATGCACCGATGGTGATACGTGTAGTTGTCATTGTTTGTCTGCTGCTGTCTGACGATTTAGCGCGTTAATAATGAAGTATGTGAGCTCTGTACACGGGCAAGAGGATTTCCTGAGCTGAGACTATTGGATAGGTTGGGGTTTTAGATTTCAAAACCCTCTTCCAGATTGTGGAACAATTACAAAGTTCTTGGGGTTTTTGCTTGTCACTTCTCTCCAAAATGCTGCCTGCCCATGGTCCTTGTCTTCCATCTGTTCTTGTCGCTCACAGCAAGCCAGGCTAATTCAGTTATATTTGGTCTGATAGAAGAAGGAAGCCCAATTGTTGGAAGTAAAATCAGTTTCCTCATTAGCTCAGGCTGGTTTGATGCCACCATCAGAAGACAGTGGTTAAGCTGCATTGTCTTACATTCTTAAGTGAGAGCCTCCCTATGTTTGATAGTGAATTATACCAAAATAAAGCACCTCAAAAGTGCAGAAATATGAAAATTAGATCAGATGCTGGGCACCTTAGTTGCCCTGAACCTGTGGAATATGTAGGAAAACTAATGCTGTCATGAGAACATGTGCCTGGGTGATGTATTTTTCAGTACTGACTTTGATTTACTGATTTTGCAGGAACGGGAAAGCACAACAGAATCTGGAATAAGCAGGCAAGATCGAGGACTGAAAAGGCGTCTTCAGGGGAAGTCAGAGGATAGAGAGGAGGAGGTGAAGGAAAAGAGAAATAAGGGAAGTATGGAGAAAAAAGAAGAGGAACATGAGACTTGTGAACACAGACCAGCAGGCAACGGAAATGAAGTAATTGACGGTGCTCTTCAGAAACAAGGCACGGCTACAGAGGATGCCAGAGGAAAATCAACCACGTTGTTCATGACACAACTGTTCAGATAAACTGAGGTGTTCTTTCTTTTGTTGTTTTGCTTGCTTCTGCTTTCTTCCAGTTTACTTCTTTCTGAAAAAAAAATAAACTGAATTGTTAGAATTCAGTAAACTGAAATACTGAAATGAAACAATGGAAAACTGAAATGAAGAAAACCCTAAAAGAATGAATGAAAATAATGAAAGGAAACAGAATGAAAGGAAAAGCTGAAATAACATGGTGAAATAATGAAAATAAATAGTAAAATGAAAAAAGCGAGGGAAGGAGGGAGGGAAGTAGGCATGCAGGAAAGGAAGAATGGATGGAAGGAAGGGAGGAAGGAAGGAAGGTAGGAAGAAAGAAAAACGAAGGGAGGGAAGGAAGAAAGAAATAATAGAGAAAGAAAAAGGAATGAATGAATGCCTGAATGAGAGTAATACTAATTAAATGCAATATAATTAATTTAAATACAGGAATGAAATGAAATAATAAAATCATACAATAATTTGGGTTGGAAAGGACCTTAAAGCTCATTGAGTTCCAACCCCATGCCATGGGCAGGACCACCTTTAAAAGACCAGGTTGCTGCAAGCCCCATCCAACCTGGACTTTGAACACTGCCAGGGATGGGGCAGGCACAGCTCCTCTGGGCACCCTGTGCCAGCGCCTCAGCACCCTCTTCCTCCTGTAACAATTTGTTGCAAATGAAGTGAAATGAAACTAAATGAAATGAAATGAAGTTCTGTCTATGAACTCACATGAAATCCCGTTTCAACCTGTAACCTTGGTGAGTCTTCAGAATGCTTGTGGAGCAGAAAAAACATCCGATGTGCAGGCAAACAACAGGCTCATGGTTATGTGACTCATGGTCAGTGCAGGGAATAGAGTGGCATGGCATAGCATAGCACAGCATTAGGGTTTCAAGGTGTGATCTGGAGTGCAGGGGGAATGTTGGGAGGCTCTGGGGAGATTTTGGGGTGCGTGAGGCTTTTGGGGTGCAGGGGTTTTCCTGGCAGCCAGCTGGGTTTGGGACCCCCAGGGGGGTTTGGGCATGCAGGGAGGGGGTTTGGGGGGCAGAGATGGTTGGAGTGGGTCCCATGAGGTATTTTGGGGGTCCCAGCAGAGGTTTTGGGGGGTTTGGCGTTCTGGGGGTTTCAGGGTGCAGGGGTAGAGCAGGAAGCTTGCTGGGGCTGAGGCTCTGGGGAGGGGAAGGGGCTCGAGGTGCAGGTGGTTTGAGGTGCCTTTCCTGTCCTTTGAGAAATTCATATATAACACATCAAAACACCCAGGGACCTGTATTCTTGAGATGCAGGTGAAGAGCAGTGATGCTACAGTGACATCAGGTTCTGCTCTGAGTGCTGGGTACTTCAGCCTCAAGGCCGAGTGGGCATAGACATGATGCATCTGTTGGTTTTCACCACTTCCCTGTCACCTTCTTTAAAATGGATCCATTCTGATCCTCCTTTGGGGTGGGAGCAGGACAGAGCTCCAAATCTTGCTTGTCTTTAAGACCCCAGGAAAGAAGCCAAGGCTCTGGGGGAAACTGCACAGTATTACTTGGGGTAGGGAGGAACTGAAGTTCAAGCAGAAACTGCCCCTCGCAGACCTGATGGCTGTTTGCACATCTTCCCCTCAGGCGAGAAATGATGCCGCTGCTGTCCCTGCTCTTCTCTGCGCTCTTCATCCTCTTTGGCACTGTTATTGTTCAGGCTTTCAGGTGAGTGCACACCAAAAGGCCCTCAGGGATCTTAGAGTCCAGGCATGAGCAGCTCAGTCTGATCTGGTGCCTTAAACACACTCAAGATCATCTTCCTCTGCAGCGATTCCAGCGACACAAGGGACAGTCCTCCCTCAGAGAAAGAAGAAACCGCAGCAAAGACTGAGAAGAACGACGCGAACTTCGGCAAAGAGAGCAACAGGTTCCCCCCCTAACTTCTTCCCAACTGTTTTCTGCCCATGCTAGCGAGGACAGGGGTGCTCAAACTCACTTGTTAAGCAATTCCCACCACGTTTGCCCAGACGACATCCGTAGGGTAAGGGTAAAGGTCTGCCTGACTCGTTGAGGATCCAAGTCTGGATCTGCTACCCTGCTTGAACTGGCCTTATCTACAGGGTTTATGGGGCAGCTCAGCACGAGGGGTGGGTTCATGGTTTCTCTGTCCTTGGTTCCTCGTGCTCCCTCATTCCCCTTTCACTCAGTGACTGTTTCTTTGCAGCAGGATTCCCAAAAAGGGCTTTGTGGAGGTGACGGAGCTGACGGACATCAACTACAAGAGTAACTTGGTTCGCCTCAGGCCGGGTCACATGAATGTGGTCTTGATCCTGTCCAACTCAACCAAAACTGCCCTCCTTCAGAAGTTTGCCCTGGAGGTCTACACGTTCACAGGGTAGGCTGGGGCCCTTGCCCAGGTTTCTGGTACTGTTTTAACACCTTGCATAAGGCCGCTCTGGTTTTCAGAGTTTTCGGTATATTTTTTTTTCAGTAAACTTTCCTGTTTTCCAACAGCCTTTTTCATGTGACTGATGGTTGTCATTTTTCTTACCTTTCTGCTTTCTCTGCTGTCTCATCTATGATTATATAAACACCCCCCTACATGGATCTTGAGGCAAGTTTTGATTAGGGAATAAGGAGCTTTTGAGGATGAAGAATGTCCTAGCCTCAGGGGCTAGGAAGAAGGGCACGGGGGATATGGAGTGCTGAGGAGCACAGGAGACAGGCAGCACAAGGTGCAGGGGTTACAGGAGGAGGAATGTAGAAGGGACAAGGAGAGACAGCAAAGTGGGCAGGGGACTCCCAGGGGGGCAAGAGCCCTCCCTCCCTGCTTGTACTAGAAGAGGGTTTGGGACTCATCCCACCAAAAGCTCTGGGAGAGCAGCATGTCTCACGATTGAAGCCCCATATCAGTTTCTTCTCCTTGCTCCAGGCTCCTGGAATCCTGAAACTGCCGCTCCTCTACCTGATGGATTCCATTATCAAGAACGTGGGAGGAGATTTTGGACCTGCAATTGCTAGAAACCTAACTTTAATATTCCCCTGCGTGTTTGAAGAGTTATGCACACTTCCAGATAAGTTCTGTAATCTCAGCAGCATTTGCTCCTGGTAGGACATACATGCTTTCCATTTGGGGTTTTCTTGTTCTGCTGCCCTGTCTTTAATGTTTTGCTCTTAACGAGAGGCGATGGGCATAAACTGAAAGGCAGGAAGGTCCACCTGAACTTGGGGAAGAACCCACTTACTGAGAGGGCGACTGAGCACTGGGATGGAATGCCCAGAGCAGTTGCTGTGCCTCTTCCCCTGTTGCCTTCCAATGGTTTTGTTACTGTATTTTTTTGCCCACAGAAATTGGGCAAGGAAAATGACACTTTTGCTAGGGAAATAGTTGAAAGAAAGTTTTCAGAGAATGAAATCTGAGCAATAAAACCTTCAAATAGCCTTGACACAACAATTCCACATTTGAGCTTCTGTTCCTCAGTGCATGAGTATAGATGTATGACCTGCACTGCTTACAAGTGCTCTAGAGCAAGGTGTTAAAATGGCAAACTGTTCCTAGAGACAGGAAATAGATGAAATCTTTAGTTCGACAGAAAACATCAAGAAGTTGTTTTCTATTCCCTTAACAAGCCCTACAATTGTCTGATTGTTTTAGGTGGATGCAAAGACTAAGAAGAGTTTATTTCAGTTATGCTCTACGTGGAACGGTCTTCTTCCAGCAAAGAAACTACTAGTAGTTGACATCAAAGTGAACGTGTTAGATCCAGCTTGGCCAATTAAACCCCTCCCAGCAAACCTGGACTTCTCCAGTATCCTTGCAAAACGCAAGTTCCCAAAGAAATCAGTAAGTTTGTGTGCCTGCTGTGCGAGCAGATGCTGATACGTGTAGATGTCATTGCCTGTCTGCTGCTGTCTGACAATTTAGCGCATTAATAATGAAGTATGTGACCTCTGTACACGGGCAAGAGGATTTCCTGAGCTGAGACTCTTGGATAGGTTGGGGTTTTAGGTTTCAAAACTCTCTTCCGGATTGCGGAACAATGACAAAGTTCTTGGGGTTCTGTTTTTCACTTCTCTCCAAAATGCTGCCTGCCCATGATCCTCGTCTTCCATCTCTTCTTGTCACTCACCGCAAGCCAGGCAACCTCAAATGTATTTGCTCTTAGAGAAGAAGGAAGCCCAATTGTTGGAAGTAAAATCAGTTTCCTCATTAGCTCAGGCTGGTTTGATGCCACCATCAGCAGATGGGGGTTAAGCTGCATTGTCTTACATTCTTAAGTGAGAGTTCCCCTTTGTTGATAGCTAATTATTAAAGAAAAGGACTTCTGAAGTGTAGAAATATGAAAATTAGATCAGATTCTTGGCAGCTCAGTTGGCTTGAGCATGTGGAATATGTAGAAAAACTGATGCTCTCATGTAGGTAGTTAGGGTCTGGCGGTCGGAAGATGTCGCGCTGTACGGAAAGATAAGACCCCCCTCCGAGTCGCCAATAGGGCCTAGCCTAGGTCGTAAGCAGAGGGACGTGACGTTGTAAACCCAGGCTATATAACACCGTGTTACTCGCCAGTAAATGCCATTTGCCATCCACCACATTGGTGTCCGTGAGCTGATGGCCCGAGCAGCCTGGGATTGCTCGCCATGCTGTTCCTGAACCAGGTCGCCACGCCAATGAAGGCAACACTGTCATGAGAACATGTGCCTAGGTGATGCATTTTGCAATACTGACTTTGAATTACTCATTTTGCAGCAATGTGAAAGCACAACAGAATCTGGAATAAGAATGATGAATACAGAGAACTCAGAAAATCTATGTGTAAAAGAAGGGAGTCTAAGTCCAAGTCCAAAGTGGTCACCATGTACACAAGAGAGGAGCGCACGGAAAAGGAGATGTGGGAGTTTATCTAAGAGTTCATCACCTCCTAAAATAAGGAAGGTATGTCACATAGGCCCTAAGCAGCCTCCTGTTGAAGAAGGCTTATGCAGTCCTTCGTGGACCTTTCAACACCAGACTGGCATGGCTCACTCTGGGAAGGACTTTCCCATGTATAAAATCATTGAGAAACTTACACATGAATTTCAAGGAAAAACAAGCACAAATGAGGGCTCCTCCACAAGAGATACTGCTCCAGTCTCCACTGGGCAGCTTCAAAGACAGAGTGGGAGGGCTGAACTTACACCCCCTCCTAGAGTAATGAATTCAAACCTGGGTTTACAAGGACTAAGTGGAGCATCCTATGACCGAGCCAACAATCACGTGGAGGGCAGGGACAACCATGGTAACAGGACTGTATGGATTAGATGGCCTGGCACATCAGAGCCACAGAAGTATAAGGCTCTAGTAGACACCCCAGTAGTGCACCCTAATCCCATCCAGGGTCACAATCTATTTGTATTTCTGCAGTGACAGCAGCATCCCAACTCAAATAAGCCTGGCTGGGAAGGAGTGCCAAAAGCATCCCTCTGTGACTGGCCCAGAGGCATTTCAAGCACCAAAAAGCACCAGACAGGGTACCTCTGCCCTTTTGCCATAGCTGCTTTAGAGACACAGGAAATGAAGCAGCTCTCTGCCTTGCCTGCTCTCTCTGCTGGGCAGATGCTAAAACTCAAACAAGAATTGGCAATCACAACCACAACAGTGCTAAGGAGAGATCAGCAGCACCTACTCACCCTTTAATAGCTCCATATGGCCACAGGCAAAGTCTAATGGAGAGTGCAGGCTAACAGTCGACTATCATGACCTCAATGAAGTCACACCACCACTGAGTGCTGCCGTACCAGACATGTTGGAACTACAACGTGAACTGGAGCCAAGTGGGATGCCACCACTGATATTGCCAAGGCATTTTTCTGACTCCCTTTGGCAGCAGAGTGCAGGCCACAGTTCCCTTTTACTTGGAGGGGCGTCCAGTACTCTTGGAACTGACTGCCCCAGGGGTGGAAACACAGCCATGGGTTGATTCAGACTGCACTGGAACAGGGGCAAGCACCACAACACCTGCAATACATTGATGACACTACTGTGTGGGGCGATGCAGGGCAGAAGGTTTTTGAGGAAGGGAGGAAAATAATCCAAATCCTGCTGAAGGTTGCTTTGGCCATAAAACAGAGTAAGGTCAAGGGACCTGCACAGGAGCAGCAGGGTTTGGGAATAAAATAGCAAGATGGATGTTGTCACTTTCCCACAGATGCGATCACAAGATCACAGCAACATCTCCACCAACTTACAAGAAAGAAACAAACACTTTCTTAGGTGGTGTGGGCTTCTGGAGAATGCACACCCCAAATTACTGCCTGATTGTAAAGCCCTCTCTAGCAGAGACCTGGAAGAAGAAGGATTTCAAATGGGGCCCTGAGCAACAACAAACCTGTGAACAAATCAAACGAGAGACAGTTCATGCAGTTGCCCTCGGGCCACTCCAGTACCCTCAAGGGGAAAAAGATGCCTCTGGATCTCCTAGCAACACAACAGACACAGCAGCAACTCCAGCCCCAGCGACAGACACTGCAGCTGCTCCAACCACAGCCACAGTCACTGTAGCTGGTGTCTCTTGCTGGGGCTGTACCACCCGCAGGCACTGCACATACTCCAGTCCCAGTGACAGGCATTGCAGCTTCTCCAATAAGATGGATATATATTAATGTGCATATATATATATATACACGTGTACATGTACGTAGACACATATACATACATACATATACCTACTTGGTGGTGCAGTCAGAGCATTTGCCAGTGAAGACTGAGGCAAAGAAGTCATTCAGAACCTCAGCCTTCTCCAAATCCTGTGTAGCCAGTTCTCCTGATAGCTTTCAGAGAGGGCCCACATTGTCCCTAGTCTGTCTTTTATTTGCTATGTACCTATAGAATCCCTTCCTGTTGTCCATAACATCCCTAGCTAAGTTTAATTCTAACTGGGACTTAGCTTTCCTAACCTGGTCCCTAGCTTCCCAGACAACATCCCTATATTCTTCCCAGGCCACCTGTCCTTGCTTAAACCATTTATAACCCTCTTTTTTCCTTCAAAGTTTCCTCAGCAGCTGCTTATCCATCCAAGGAGGTCTCCTGGCCCCCCTGCTGCACTTCCTTCTCATTGGGATGCAACACTCCTGAGTGTTCAAGGCCAGATTGGACAAGGCTTTGGGTGATATGGTTTAGAGCGAGGTGTCCCTGCCCAGGGGGGTTGGAACTTGATGATCTTAAGGTCTTTTCCAGCCCAAACTATTCTATGATTCTCTGTAGCAGATGATCCCTGAAGATCAACCAACAGTCTTGGACCCCCCTGCCCTCTAGGGCTATATCCCACAGAACCTTACTGAGCAGGTTCCTGAAGAGGCCAAAGTCTGCTCTCTTGAAGTCCAGGGCAGTGAGCTTGCTGCATGCTCTCCTCACTGTCCTGAGCATCTCAAATTCAACCATCTCATGATCGCTGCACCCAAGGCTGCCCTGGAGCGTCACATTTCCAAGGAGCCCTTCCCTGTTGGTGAGCAGGAGGTCAAGCATGGCACCTCTCCTTGTCGGCTCCTCTATTCCTTGCAGAAGGAAGCTGTCTTCCACACAATCGAGGAACCTCCTGGATTGCTTGTGCCGGGCTGTACCGTCATTCCAACAGATGTCAGGGTGGTTGGAGTCCCCCATGAGGACAAGGGCCCGTGAGTGTGAGGTTGTTCCTGTCTGCCTACAGAGCACTTCATCCACAGAGTGCTCTTGATCAGGCGGTCTGTAACAGATCCCCACAGTAATGTCCCCCATGGATGTTCTCCCTTTAACCCTGACCCACAAACTCTCTGTTAACTGCTCCCCTGTCCCCAGACGGTTCCATACTCTCCAGCCTATCCCTAACATAAAGGGCAACTCCCCCTCCCTGCCTGCCAGGCCTGTCTTCTCTAAAGAGCCTGTAACCTTCCATTCCAACGCTCCAGTCATAGGAGCCATCCCACCATGTTTCTGTGACGCCTATTATATCATATCCCCATAGACATGCACACGTCTCTAATTGCTCTTGTTTTTCCCCCATATTACAGGCATTTGTATAGATGACGTGAGTTACTCATCCCTCTCCCTGCCCCAGGGTATATGCAGGGGGTTTCTCCAACCTGGGGGTCCCTGAGCCCCACATCAGCCCCATAGAGATGGGTCTTTGCTTGCTCCAAAGCCTCCTCCAGCATTTCCAGCCTGGACTTCCTCAAAGACTGCAGCTATATCAGAAACTGGTGAGGTTTTTGGAGCAGGGATGCCCTGCAGTGAGCCCAGCAGCCCCAGCCCCAGTAATTCTACTGTAGGAATAAAGACCTTAGGCCCACTGTACAAGAGGATCTGGTTTGAGACCATCTTAAGAACCTGAATGTGCACAAGTCCTTGGGACCTGATGAAATCCATCTGCGGGTCCTGAAGGAGCTGGCATATGAAGTTGCTAAGCCCCTGGCCATCATATTTGATAGATCATGGCAGTCAGGTGAAGTTCCTGATGACTGGAAAAAGGGAAATATAACCCCCATTTTAAAGAAGGGGAAAATGGATGACCCAGGGAATTACAGACCAGTCAGTCTCACCTCTGTGCTGGCAAAATCTTGGAGCAGATTCTCCTGGAAGGCATGCTAAGGCACATGAAAAACAACAAGGTGCTTGGTGACAGCCAGCGTGGCTTCACTAAGGGGAAGTCCTGCTTGACAATTTTGGTGGCCTTCTATGATGGGGCTACAAAACTGATGGACAGGGGTAGATCAGTTGATGTCATCTACCTGGACTTGTGTAAAGCGTTCGACGCTATCCCACACGACATCCTTGTCTCCAAATTGGAGAGACATCAATTTGATGAATGGACCACTCGGTGGACAAAGAACTGGCTGGATGGCTGCACAAAAAGATTTGTGGTCAATGGCTCAATGTCCGTCTGAAGACAAGTAACAAGTGGTGTCCCTCAGGGATCGGTGTTGGGACCGGTCTTGTTTTACATCTTTGTCGCTAACATGGACAGTGGGATTATAGAATCATAGAATGGTTTGGGTTGGAAAAGACCTTAGGATCATCCAGTTCCAACCCCCCTGCCACGGGCAGGGACACCTCACACTAAACCATGTCACCCAAGGCTTCATCCAACCTCGCCTTGAGCACTGCCAGGGATGGCGCATTCACAACCTCCATGTGCAACCCATTCCAGTGCCTCACCACCCTAACAGGAAAGAATGTCTTCCTTATATCCAATCTAAACTTCCCCTGTTTAAGTTTTAACCCATTACCCCTTGTCCTGTCACTACAGTCCCTAATGAAGAGTCCATCCCCAGTATCCCTATAGCCCCCCTTCAGATACTGGAAGGCTGCTATGAGGTCTCCAAGCAGCCTTCATAGGTTCTGTGGAGTCAGATGCGACTCCTTTCCAGGCCCCATCAGGTATCATGGACGAGCCAGATGCCGTAGCCAGTTTGCCCACTCCCAGTGACATCTTGGTCTCCTACTCAACTTTTCCAGGTGAGATCCCCAGAGGAACTGGCCAAAGTGTTGGAGATTTGTAGCCCAAGTTGGGGGAGGTTTGGGGCAATTGGAGATGGCAGGAACTTAGTGAGACGAGAACATAAAACTGTCTTTGGCAGTGATGTTCTCATTCTTCCTCTGCAGGTTTTGTCTCCTGGAGGGAGGTGTCGAGTGGCTCATGGTATGTGGAAACCCTGGACAGCGTGCTGGAGCAATACGCCCCTTCGGAAGACCTGCTGAACATGTTACTGCGGGTGAGTGTCAAAGTCCAAGCTCGTGGGACTTGGGTCACTGTTATAAGCTTGCTGCCCTGTGTCCAGGCAGATCGTGCCCTTGGGGAAGTCCTGGTGGTTCTCTTGTGCCTGGAGATGTCCATGGTGCTCACTTGCACTCTGTGGTACTCCTAAGACACGATGGTACATATGTACCCATCACCCCTTGTCCTATTGCTCCAGTCCCTGATGAAGAGTCCCTCTCCAGCATCCTTGTAGCCCCCTTCAGACACTGGAAGCTGCTGTGAGTTCTCCACGCATCCCTGAGTTCCCTGTCCTGCCTGCTCCTCATCCACTCTCTTCCTGTTCTCAGGTGGCCAATGCTGTCTCTGCCAAGGGGAAGTACAAGCAGATCCCAGGCTGCTTCAACTTCCTCCGTAAAAAACTCTTCTTCAAGTGCAAATGATGCTCCGAGGATGCTGCCAAGCTCCAGAGCTGCTTCCCCGCAGCCAGAGGAAACCTGCTCCCTCCAGGACCCTGCAGCCATGCTCCTGGTGCCATCTCTGTCTGTCGAGATGTTTGTCTTGAGGAATGTCACCCGTGAGTGCTGTGAAAGAGGGAGGAGATGGAGGCTGCGCCGTGCCGATGGGGAATGGTACGGATGGAGCAGGAAGCCCCTTTGCCAGGGCACGCGCTGGCCCAGCGCCTCTGTGCTCGCAGAGGAGAGCACCTCCAGCTCGCTGCGATGCGCCTGTGCTCAGCCTCAGGGTATTTTGTTTGGTGACTGCCACACTTGCGGCCTTCTCTGCCTGGAAAACCAACTGATGGGATCAAAGCCTGGCACTTCAGTGGCATGGAATGAGTTTTGTAATTGAGATTTCCAGTAAAACACAATGGAAAAGGCAAGAAAATCCTTTGTGTTTCCTCGTCTGTTCCGTGCTGTGAGTGCCAGTTCAACATCTCCCAAAGGCTTCTCTGCAAGAAGAGCAAGAAAAGCCTCATCCATGTAAATCTTCATCTTCCTGCTGCTACTGGGAGCGTTTCATAGAATCATAGAATTGTTTGGGTTGGAAAGGACCTCAAGATCATCCAGTTCCAACCCCCCCTTCCATGGGCAGGGACACCTCGCTCTAAACCATATCACCCAAGGCCTCGTCCAACCTGGCCTTGAACACTGCCAGGGATGGAGCATTCACAACCTCCCTGGGCAACCCATTCCAGTGCCTCAGCACCCTCACAGGAAAGAATTTCCTCCTTATATCCAATATAAACTTCCCCTGTTTCAGTTTTAACCATCACCCCTTGTCCTATCACTACAGTCCCTAATGAAGAGTCCATCCCTGCATCCCTATAGGCCCCCTTCAGACACTGGAAGCTGCTCTGAGGTCTCCACGCAGCTTCTCTTCTCCAGGCTGAAGAGCCCCAACTTTCTCAGCCGAGACGTGGCCATGCGAGAAGGCAGCGAGTGTCCCCTTGAGGCAATCTGCAATAATGCGAACTTAGAGAGGAGCCTGATGAGGATCCCTCTGAATCCCAGAGCTGAGGTCGAGCGCTTGCCCTGGGGAGCTGCTGTGGTGATAGTTTTGGATTAGAAACCCGGGATGGATGTGGGATATTAGGGAGAGGCGTCCTCAGGGACTGAGGAGCTGCCCTGGGGAGATGCAGCTGCCATGGGGTATGTGGGGAAGGGAAGTGTCACTGTGCAGAGCCGGGACAGGATGGAGAGCTGATGGGTGCCCCCCAGTTGCATGGGGCATTTCACAGTCCTGGTCTGCTTCGGAACAGCAAAGGCAGCTTGTGCTGCGCCCCAGTGCCTCCGTGCTGCTGGGGGAGCGAGGGAGGCTTTGGGAATCACCTGTGGGTGCCAATAGCAACTTGGGCCACTCCTCACCCAATGTGGTTTACAGGGGCTGCCTTCTGTCAGCATCACAGACACATGGGCAGTGCCAGCAGCCACAGCGTGGTGCTTCGTGTCCCCCTGACACAGTACAGCCCAGCACACCCCACTTGTCCCTCGGGTGTGCTGGGTGCTCGCACAGCCACCCAGGGATCCACACACCCCAAAGGCTCCCTGCTGGCCTCGCTCAGGTCACACAGCAGCCTCGTGGCCACCCACCCCTGTGGGGTCTCACTGCGAGCCGTGGCTGAGCCGAGTCCCATGCAGGGACTGTGACTCTCCACCACCTCCTGCAGGAGGGGACAACTTCACTGGGGTGGGACCCATCTCAGAGGGTGCCAGTGCCAGGCACGGTCCTGCTCCCTCCCCACCACCACTGACCCGCTGGGTACCAGCCCCAGTGCTGCAGTGGTGCCCAGGGCTCCCACACTCACCACACCACCTCTGAGGAGGGGACAGGGTGCCCAGGTGGACACACAGAGGTGACATGAGAGCACGTCTCGATGTGACTGCAGCACCAGGCAGTGCCTCCCGCATGGTGGGGTCCTGCTCCCCAGCCTCTTCTTCCCACCCCCAAGAGCCCCCCTGCAGTACATGGTCCATCTCCACACATCCTCTGGGCAGGTCTTTAATACCCAAGGGGTGATGTGTACAATCCCTCTGCCACAGCACCCAGCAGCACCCCCAGCTGCTGCCCTCCCCATGCATCTCTTCACCCACTAAACCTCTGGCCACGCTGTCAGGTGTCCCTCAGTCCCCAGACGGACCCACAACCCTGCCCCAAGCCAGCCACAGCCCAGGCAAGTGGCTCCCACAGCCTCGGGGCTCGCACCACTGCTCCTGGGCCCCACTGCAGGCCCAGTGCAGGCGATGGCATCGCTCCCCAGGCTGGTGCTGGTGTTGCTCAGGCTGGTGGCAGCATCACTCCTGAGCTGGGGACCATCCATCACGTCCCCCGCTGAGCTCCAGGCACCACCATCCTCCATCCTCTGGCACGAAGCTTCTCACTGGGCCCAGCACCCATGACAAGGTGATGGCAGCACCGCAGTGCCGGTGGGCAGCCCTGCTCGGGGGCTCATGGTACAGCACCATCCGCAGCCTGTGCACCCCTGCTCCCACTGCCACGGTGCCTCCTTCCACTGCAACCCCCCACATCCCTCCCATGGCAGCCCTGGCTCCTCCTGGGGACCCCCCAGCCGGGGTGCAAGCCCCACACTGCCAGACCCAGCACCCACCTTGTTCCTCCAGATGCTGTGGGAGGAGACCCACACTGAGACACTCAGCTCTGGGTCATGGTGCAGGTCCTGCAACCCCCCTCCCTGGACCAGGCAGCCCCCAAGGACCAACCCTTGAGACCCCCATTGCAATTTACCTGTCCTCAAGTAGCCCAGGGCCAGCAAAGTCCTCTGAGACACAGAACCAGAGAAGGAGAGAACGGGTTGGGGTGAAGGGACCTTAAAGCTCCTCCAGCTCCAACCCCTGCCACGGGCAGGGACCCCTTCCACTGGAGCAGCTTGCTCCAAGCCCCTGTGTCCAACCTGGCCTTGAGCACTGCCAGGGATGGGGCATTCACCCTCTCTTTGGGCAGCCTGATCCACTGCCAAGGACAACTGAGGCCCCTGAAGCACTCTGGAGCTGCCACATCCCTCAGTGCTCCCCATGGGCCAGCTGGCTCCCTCACAGGCCCCCAGCCAGACCCCAGCCCCTTGAGCCCAAACCACCAGCAAAGCCTTGAGCCCCTTGGTGCTAAGGGCATGGATCCCACCCCTGCTCCCCACAGCTGCAGCCGGAGCCTGCCCCAGTGCCCTCCCTGAGCAACGTGGGGACCCTGCAGACCCCAGCATCCCCAGCCACAGCCGCAGGTGCCTGCCCCCCGCTGCCCCCTGCTCAATAACCAGACCAAGCGAGACCAGCTCAGCTCTTGTGCCTTTATCACGCTCGAGACGCGCTGCCCCTCGCGCCGCATCTTCAGTTGCTGCTCATTGTCTGCAAGGACAAGACAGAGGGGCCATGGCAGCGAGCCCCGGCGCTGGGCAGGGGCAGCCCCTCGGTGGGGGCAGAGCCCGCGGCACCCACCTCGTGGATCCAGTCGATGTAGGCGGACACGCGGGTGAACACCGTCGGCTTCCTCAGCGTGTTGCAGCCCAGCCCCGAGCCAAAGCTGACGATTCCGGCCACCTCCCAGCGCCCCTCGAACGGGCAGTTCAGGGGGCCTCCGGAGTCCCCCTGGCCCCATGGACACCGCTCAGGACTCGCCCGTCCGGACGCTCCCCTCCAGCCCCTCACCTCCCAGTGCTTCCCATGGGCTCCACAGCCTCCCTTGTTCCTGGAGCACAGACCAGCCCTGCGCCCACCGTTGCCACCCCTTGCCCATCACTCACGTTGCAGCTGGAGATGACACCATCGCCGCCAGCACATATCATACTGGGGAGCACGTAGGTGCCCCACCAGCTCCGCTGGGAGCAGGTCTCATAGTCCACCACGGGCAGCAGTGCCTGCTGCAGGACGTCAGCCAGGGGCCCATTCGCTGCCACAAGAGGCACACATCACACCCTGCACCCCCGCTGGACCCCGCTGACTCCTCCCCACGGACCCCACTTACTCCAGAGCCGGCCCCAGCCGGTCACATAGCAGGGGTAGTTGTTCTCCAGTATCTGCCCGGCGGGCGGCAGGCAGGCCACCTGGATGGTCTCACTCTCCTGCACCTCCTCTGCCAGCTTGATCAGGGCGATGTCATTGCTATGGGGAGAGCCAAGCGTGGGGACAGGAAGATCAGGTTCGTAGGGAAGCGGAACCCAGCCATAATACCCCCTCCATCCATCCCTGACCCATCCCATCCCATCCCATACATGATGAGGAAGGAGTTCCAGTTCTTGTGCACGATGATCTTCTCCACCCCCACAGCCACCGAGCCCAGCTCTTCCTCATCCGACAGGACCTGCTTGCCCAGCACCACGCGGTACGTCAGGGTAGAGCTTCCAGGGGCAGAAACAGAGGTGTCAGTCTCCATAGACATCTTGACCCCCCTGCATGGACCCCTCTCTTACACCCAGCACCCACCTGATGCAGTGGGCAGCCGTCAGCACCCAGTTGGTTTCAATCAGGGTCCCGCCGCATGTGTGGTACCACTTCCCATTCTGGATGTACTGCAGTGAGATCTGTGACAGCAGAGGCACAGCATCAGTGTGGGGATGTCCCAGTCCCCACCCCTATCCCCATCCCTGCACCCCCCCTTACCTGCCATGGCCAGCTGTGGGGCACAGCATCTTCACCACCCACCACGCGGGGGCGATGCAGCGATGCCACGGCCGCCTGCCCACATCCATAGGCTGGGTGACACCGGCAAAGGGACCTCAGCGGCCGCCTGCACCCCCTGCCCAGGGCCACAGCGGCTGCCGGGGTCCCAGGCCCCTCACCCCATCCCCTCCTGCGCCCCAGACCCACCGTAGCCCAGCACCACAGCGAGGCACAGAGCACCCAGCATGGCTGCAGCAGTCCAGAGTGCTTGCAGGGGCCGCTCACCCCTCTTATAGCACCCCAGGACCTTGGTGTTGACCCTCCCCTGGCCAACATCTGGTGAGTGTCCCACGCTGGGGGGCAGCTCCTCACCCCCATTGCTCCCTCTTATCAGCCCCTGGGAACAGCCACAGCTGCCCAGCCAACGTGGCAGAGCAGGGACACCTGGGGACACACAGGGTCCCTCCTGGGGTGCAGCTTGCGGGCAGCCCCCAGCCACACTGCTCCCTGTGCTTGCAGGCAGCCCAACTGCCCCCAGCTTCCAGGGTGCGGCCCCCAAACCTGCCCCCCCATGCACCACAGGAGTAGGGTCTCTTTATCTCATGCTCCACATGGCCAAGGCCACCCAATACCCCACAGGTGCCGTGGGGGCAGCCCCATAGCACAGGGATGCTGAAGACCTTCAGTAACACCCTATGTGGATCAGGCCCCCGCTGCTTCCTATGCTGCTGTCCCAGCACCTCCATGGGTCATCCTGCTTCACCACCACCCGCAGCGGTGATGGGGTGCCTGCTCCCCGTGTGGCTCCTGCCACCAGCATGGACACAACCAGAGCACGGCTGCACCTCAGCCCCACACAGGCACCCAGCTTAAGAAATATAATATTTATTTGGGATTCAAATAAAAACCCAAACCACACAAACCACACAAACACCCCCCGTACACCCCCGGGGTGACACCGCGGGACAGACACGTCGGTACAGCCAACACGGGAGCTCCCCCAACCACGTGTGGCTACAACACTCGCCCTCCTGGGCCAAGCACGACAGGAAAACACGGAACAGCCTCAAGAGCCAGCAGCCGCCTTCGCACACAGCTTCAGGACAGAGACCCAGCCCTCGGGGGGCTGCACACCACGGGAGGCTCCCATCCCGCAGCACTGCACACACGGACCCCTCCAGCAGCAATGGCAACAGGCACCGAGTCCCTGTGACCCCCCCGGGGTGACCGCCCGAGTCCTGCAGGGTGCATGCACAACACAACAGCGTGGGGACAGCACCCCCGGCACGGCTGCCCCGGCAGCAGCAGCCCCAGCAGGGACACGGCGCTGCCACCCCTTGGGCAGGGGCAGCTTGCAAGGGGGCAAGAGAGGGGTGAGAACAACACCTACAGGCAGCACAGGAGGGGAAGGGAGGGCCGGGCGCTGGGTCGAGCCCGGCCTTTGGGCAGTCACAGGCACACAGCTCGGGCATCGCTCCCGTTACAGTCGACACGTGGCACACGTGGCATTCCCGGCTCCAGGCACTGCACACCAGTCCTGCCCGGCACTGTGCGCTGTCACTGCTTGAAGGTGGATTGGAGCTCCTTGAACGCTGCTTTTCTCTGCTTCAGCTCCTCCGCCTGCTTCTTCTTCTCCTCCTGCTCTGCCTTGATCTCCTCCTCGAAGCGGCTGGCGTCATGGATGGCTTGTACCTGCCGATGGGGACACAAGACCCCACCAACATCCCCACCTGCTGCTCCCAGTGAGCTGGCACCAACCCACCCTCGTGCATCACCGCCCTGGGTATGCGCACCATTACCTTGGCCTCAAAGAAGTTCTTGGCACCTTTCACACCCTCCGTGGAGACGTCGATCTCGGAGAGGCGGGCCAGGGCGTGCAGGCCACTGTCCTCCTGCAGCTCTCCTGCCGCCGCCTTGCGGAAGATCAGCAGGAACTGCAAAGAGAGACACTGGTGTGGGCCCTCAAAGCCACCACAACACCCTCCCCATCACCTTAGAACCATGCCAAGCCCAGCACTGAGGTGAGCAGCACCGGGGGTACCTTCATGTCAGTGTGGAGCCCTCCCCATGCCCTTACCTCCCGAAAGCTGAGCTTGCTGTCCAGGTCTTCATCCACTTCCTTGATCATGTTCTTCAAGCCCAGGTGTGTCTGTGGAGCCCCCAGCTTCTCCATCATCAGCTTCAGCTCCATCAGGTCAATGAAACCATCTTTCCCCGCGTCGTACCTGCAGCAGAGGGACGGTCCTGTCACATCACTGAGTGTCTCCTCTGCCTGGGAAGCGAGGCAGCAAGCACAGGAGGAGGTAACAGCAAGGACATGGACACCGACACTCCCAGGCAGCTCGCCAGACCATGGGAAGCTGCTGGCAAACCACTAACAGCCCCCAGAGCATCATCTGGGATCAGCTCCACTTCCACACAGTGCTTGGCAGGAGAACCCCTACAGATGCTGCCAAACCTGCTGCTGGCTCCCTGGGCCCAGAGCCCGAGCACACCATCACCTCCTCACTGTGACATCTCCAGCTGATGGCTCCTGCCTGCCCAGAGACCCTCAGCATCCATCCATGTGCCTGGGCTTCAAGAGGTCAAGACACACAACCCTCCATAGCTACCTGACAGGAGATTGTAGTGAGGTTAGGGTCGGTATCTTCTCACAAGGAACAAGTGACAGGACAAGAGAAACGGCCTCAAGCTGCACGAGGGCAGGTTTAGATGGAGCTGAGGAACAATCCCTGCCCCAGAGGGTGCTCAGGCATTGGAACAGGCTGCCCAGGGCAGGGCTGCAGGCACCGGCCCTGCAAGTGTTCACACACCCTCAGTGCTGTGGGTTAGTGGTGGCCTTGGCAGTGCTGGCAACAGTTGGACTGGGCGATCAGAAAGGACTTTTCAACCTCATTGTCTCTATGGCTCTAAAGGGGGTGGGCTGGCAGCACGAGGCTGTGGAGCCCATGGGAAGCACTGGGAGGTGAGGGGCTGGAGGGGAGCGTCCGGACAGGCGAGTCCTGAGCGGTGTCCATGGGGCCAGGGGGACTCCGGAGGCCCCCTGAACTGCCCGTTCGAGGGGCGCTGGGAGGTGGCCGGAATCGTCAGCTTTGGCTCGGGGCTGGGCTGCAACACGCTGAGGAAGCCGACGGTGTTCACCCGCGTGTCCGCCTACATCGACTGGATCCACGAGGTGGGTGCCGCGGGCTCTGCCCCCACCGAGGGGCTGCCCCTGCCCAGCGCCGGGGCTCGCTGCCATGGCCCCTCTGTCTTGTCCTTGCAGACAATGAGCAGCAACTGAAGATGCGGCGCGAGGGGCAGCGCGTCTCGAGCGTGATAAAGGCACAAGAGCTGAGCTGGTCTCGCTTGGTCTGGTTATTGAGCAGGGGGCAGCGGGGGGCAGGCACCTGCGGCTGTGGCTGGGGATGCTGGGGTCTGCAGGGTCCCCACGTTGCTCAGGGAGGGCACTGGGGCAGGCTCCGGCTGCAGCTGTGGGGAGCAGGGGTGGGATCCATGCCCTTAGCACCAAGGGGCTCAAGGCTTTGCTGGTGGTTTGGGCTCAAGGGGCTGGGGTCTGGCTGGGGGCCTGTGAGGGAGCCAGCTGGCCCATGGGGAGCACTGAGGGATGTGGCAGCTCCAAAGTGCTTTAGGGGCCTCGGTTGTCCTTGGCAGTGGATCAGGCTGCCCAAAGAGGGGGTGAATGCCCCATCCCTGGCAGTGCTCAAGGCCAGGTTGGACACAGGGGCTTGGAGCAAGCTGCTCCAGTGGAAGGGGTCCCTGCCCGTGGCAGGGGTTGGAGCTGGAGGAGCTTTAAGGTCCCTTCACCCCAACCCGTTCTCTCCTTCTCTGGTTCTGTGTCTCAGAGGACTTTGCTGGCCCTGGGCTACTTGAGGACAGGTAAATTGCAATGGGGGTCTCAAAGGTCGGTCCTTGGGGGCTGCCTGGTCCAGGGAGGGGGGTTGCAGGACCTGCGCCATGACCCAGAGCTGAGTGTCTCAGTGTGGGTCTCCTCCCACAGCATCTGCAGGAACAAGGTGGGTGCTGGGTCTGGCAGTGTGGGGCTTGCACCCCGGCTGGGGGGTCCCCAGGAGGAGCCAGGGCTGCCAAGGGAGGGATGTGGGGGGTTGCAGTGGAAGGAGGCACCGTGGCAGTGGGAGCAGGGGTGCACAGGCTGCGGATGGTGCTGTACCATGAGGAACCAGCCTCAAGCTGCACCAGGGCAGGGTTAGATGGAGCTGAGGAACAATTCCTGCCCCAGAGGGTGCTCAGGCATTGGAACAGGCTGCCCAGGGCAGGGCTGCAGGCACCGTCCCTGCAAGTGTTCACACATCACGTACACGAGGCCCTCAGTGCCATGGGTTAGTGGTGGCCTTGGCAGTGCTGGGAATGGTTGGACTGGATGATCATGAAGGACTTTTCAGCCTCACTGATTCCATGACTCTGTGTCTGTCACTGAGCCTGCTCACCCCCCCTGGCAGGGACAACCCCTCAGACCACCCCACTGACCCCTCCATCCTCCCACTGCCTGAATGGAGCTGGCAGCTCCCCGTGTCTGGGTGTAGTCCTGGAACCCTGCAGCACAGCACAGGGGACTCCTGCTGCAGAGCCAGCACAGCTCCACATCTTACACAGCTCCAAAGGGCAGGCGGCTGCATCTCCCCAGTACCCCTCATCCTCAATGCAAGCCTCACAGCTGCACCGCACCCCACCACCCCCCCTGCGCACCACACGGGAGGAGGAGACCCTGCAGGCAGCCCGGGGCCATGCAGGAGTGTCCGAGCAGCTTCACCCATCACGAGCAGGCGCTGACTCGTGCTGTGCGTGCGGCGCTGCAGCCGCCTCGCAGAGCACCAGGCTCAGCACGCCGCAGGTCTGTGACTCATTTGTACCTTCCCTGCTGCGGTTTCGCTCTGTCCCTGTCGCCTTCCTGCTCTCCCACGCTGTGGGGACTCTCGCACAGCACTTGGCCCTGCTCCTCTCTGCCTGCTTCCGCTGTCAGCCCGGAGCTGGGCTGGGGGAGCAGCCCCAACGAGCTTCCTGCCTCCGAGATCCCTCTTGGAGCATCACACACAGAGTTGCTCTGCAAAGGGCAAGTTTGCCAGTCTGGCCCGGTTGTTTCATCCCATGCAAGGCACGCCCCCAGCTGCAGGGCGCTTCCTTGCTCTCACTCCCCTCCTCTGTGCTTTTTGGGGTGCCGGCATCCCTCTGCTTCTCCCATGCGGCACCATCTCTTCAGGCAGCAAACCCGCTCCCACACTTTACACCATACAGCCAGATCATTGCATTGCAAGGGTGACAAGGGCACATGGCTCAACAGCATCCTTCCCTTGGGAATACCCCTTCCCAGCTCCCAGACCGCCGTGGGCTGCCTCACGCTGCTCCTTTCGCTGCAGTGAGACGCTGCAAACACGTCTGCTCCGAGCGCCTGGCTCCGTATCTGCGTGGTGCCGGCCACATTCCCACCACACACCATCTGCACCACGATGAGCTCCCGTGCTCAGCATCACCAGATGGGTGCTCTGGTCCTGGGGACCCTAAGCGTGGTTGTACCCTCACCCCAGGCTGCATCCAAGAGGCTGTAAGCAGCAACCAGCACATCTGTGTCCGGGTGGGAAGAAGCAGGGAACAAGGAGGCTCTTGCACTGCCTACGATGCTGGCAGAACATTGCCCGCACCTCAAACAAGCCCCCCCCCAGCCTTGTGCCATGGGGCTCGCTGTGTCCAGCCCCTCCACCTTTTCCAGCAGTGCCCAAGCAAGAGCCTGCAGCACATCTACACAGATTTCACCCCCGGTTTACACCGGATGGGTCCAGAGGCAGCAGCACACTGCAGGATGCTCGCTGCTCTACAGCCACGCTGCCTTTGCATCATCCGTAAGGAAGCTCCGGCCCATGCCACTTGGCCCCCCGGCACATCCTGGTGTGACCATGGTTACAGACACCGCAATTTCAGTTTGCCCCTGGAAATTTCCAGGGATCGATGCCAGGTTCCCCCCGGGCCGAGCCTGTGCACCGAGTCACGCTGCACCGTGCGCGGTGGCACGCACTGAGGCTGGGGACGCACCGAGAAGTGGGAACTCCTCGGTGCTGCAGCAGAGGGAAGGCAGGGGGGTCCCTTGTGGTACGCTCCAGCTTTCCCGGCTGCAATACAAGGTGCCAGGGTCACTCCTGCCAGGAGACGGGAACGGGGGTCCCCGTTGCTGAGATTTGGGGTGTGCAGGAATCTCTCCTGCAGGAGCTGGGGGAAAGGTACCCCAGGCATCCTCCTGCAAGGAGCTGCGGAGGGGGGGAAGTCCTTGGGATCCCTTCTGCAAGGAGTTGGGGGTATCCCAGGCATCCCTCATGCAAGGGATGGGGAGAGCCTCCTACAAGGAGCCAAGGGAACCTCCTGCAAGGTGTTGCGGGGTTCCTCCTGCAGGGAGCAGGCCGGGGTCCCCCCGCCGGTCCCCGGTGATGCCGCCCGCGGTCCCCGCTCTCCCCGG